AGGTTAGATTTACCCACCTCACTCAAGCAACTAGAAGAGTCGGCAAATTATATAAGACAGTGGTTATGACACACAGGACAAGACAGCTTGCAACATAGGAGGGGAACCTGAGAGAGAAGAAACAAAGGCAGTGGGCCTGGGATTGCTCCATATCACTGGCTGGAAAGCTTCCAGGCCTCAGAACAGACCAGCAGAAGCCGAACGAAGCCCATGGTCTTTCTGGGGTGAGAAGGCAGAGTCTGCAGTTCAGAGAGGCAAGTGACTAGAATTGATGGGAAAGAGAAGAAGAGAAGGGAGGGGCACATGGACCTGTGGACCTGCAGAGCCTTCCTTCCAAGGCTTCGGTTCAGTTCTGCCCCAGGGCATGCAGGTGAAGAAATGCAAAGGCCTACTGGGAGGAGGAGCGTGGAACAACCCCTGGAGCTTACCCAGGGCTGAGAAGAACTCACATTTCCACCAGCCTACAAGGATGGGCCACCTAATCATGGCTTATCAAGTAGAGTCCTCGGAAGCGGACAGCCTCCATACTGGGGCCAAATGAGCCTGAGACTAAAGGCTGTTCTGGACTAGCACTACCAAGGCTTAAAAGCAAGACTCTAGAAAGATCTCATGGATTTCAAGTAACTTTACCATGTCGCAGGACAAAGCCCAAAAATACTGAAAGGGAGAAAGAATTCAGTATCCAACATAAAATTCATACCAACTGTCAACCAATCAAAAAATACCAAGCATGAAAAGGGAAAAAAAGAAAATATAACCTAAAAATCAAACCAAACAAAAATCAATAACAGAAACATGATGAGAAATTATCCAGATGGTAGAATAGACAAAAAGAAATCGGAAGAGAAATTGTAAAATATTTTAAACTGAATAAAAACTAAACTGCATATATAAAAATTTACTGCAAGAAGCTAAAGCAGTGCTTAGAGAGACGTATACAGCATTAAACTCGTATTTTATAAAAAAAGTAAGGTTTAAAAATCAATGACTGGTATGGAGAGGATATGACTAAAGAGGAATAACACGAGCAAACTTTTTGGTTGCTCATCCTGTAATGATTTGTATCTTATAATCAATGATCTAAACTTACATCATAAGAAACTAGAAAAAGAGTAAATTTGAAATAAGCAGCTGAAGGTCAAAAATAAAAAACAGAAATTAACAAAATACAGAACAGAAAAACCACAGAGAAAAGTCAGTGAAACCAAAAGTTCTTTGACAGTACCAATAAAATTAATTTAAAATTGATAAGTTTCTAACCCAACTGATCAGGAAAAAAAAAATGAAGACCTAAACTATTAATACCATGAATTGAAAAGGGGCATCACTACAGATTCAACAGACATTAAGAGAATAATAAAGAAACATAGGTTAAAAAAAAGTCTATGCCAATAAATTCAATAGTTTAGATGAAATGACAAATTCCTAGAAAGATATAAGCTACCAAAACTTGTGTAGAAGAAATAAAAAAGCTTTAATACTTTATATCTACTAAGGAAATTGAGTACTTTAAAACCTTTTCTCAAAGAAAACTCCAGGCCCAGATGGTTTCACTGGTGAATTTCACCAAATGGTAAAGGAAGAAATAGACCAGCTCTACAAAAACTCCTCCAGGAAATTCAGGAGGAGGGACTATTTCCCCATTCATTCCATAAGGTGAACATAAGCAAACAAAACAAGAGAATTACAGGGAGACCACAGGCCAATAACACTCAGAAACATAGATGCAAAAATTCTTCACAAAGTTTTAGCAAATCACATCCAGCAAAGTGTAAAAGGTGCCTGCCACACTAGAGGATACGGACCCACAGTGAGTATCACCTGAAGGGCTCAGAGAAAACTTCTAGGATAAGGTGACTTCCGAGCAGGCCCTTGATAGGCAAGCATAATTTCAATAGATGGTGATGTCAGGGCAGAGAAAACAGCAAGAAAAGACACAGATGGATACAAGAAGGTAGAAGCCTCACCAAGAACAGGTAGGTGTGTTGACACTGACTGGGGTGGCTGCCAGGCTTCCAGAGAAGTTCCCTTCTCTGGGAACAGTTCCAGACGCAGAGCTGAAACACCCTGGGGCCAGCTCTGAGCTGTGTGACCCTGACCCCACCCACCCCACCCTCAGTCACAACTGACTGCTCCAGAGTTAGACCCATCACTAGCCTGGAACAATCAGATCTCTTGCCCACTGATCTGAAACCAGAATGGAGACAGATTCCCTGCCTGAGATCTGCTGGACCCAAATCACCATCCATCTTAAGTCCCCAGAGTTGGTTGGTTCCTGCCCTTTCCTTGGCTTTTCAGCAACTTCTTGGATCTCATGAGCTGTCCCAGGGACCTTCCCATAAGATTCTTTTTCTTAATGTGAGGTGGTTTCTGGCGCTTGTAACCAAAAGAATATTGAAGAGTACCATGACAGTCACTACAAGTTTATCTCTGTGAAAGAGTTAATCACTACTTAGCCTCTGAATCCCTGGGCCAGGGCCAAGCATCTGCAATGGGGAATCAGGGGAATCAGATCAAGTTAGGATGGTGGGTGCAATCCAGGTACTCAGAACAGCAGGTTCCGGGAGGCTGGAGTTGAAGGGAGAGAAGAAGGCTCCAAAGGTTTTTGAACAGGGGAAGGACATGGACAAAACAGCCTTACAGGGAACTGCCCAGCAATGCTGTGGAGGATGGATTACGAGGAAGCCATGTGCTGACCCCTCCAGAGGGCTGTGGTAAAGCTACTGGAGTGACACACTCAGGATCTGGCCTGCTCTCCTGTCTTTGGTCCTCGTACCAGCACCAAGCTTAGGCCCAGGCACTGAATTGTGCTGTTACATTCTGCTGATCAGACAGGCCAAAGAGCGAGAGATGACAACACTTGATGACTAAATGCTGGGATCAAAGGAGGGAAAAAGCTAAAGGTCATGGCAGTTTCAACCTTGGCTGGCAAATTCAACTGAACCAGAAATGGCAGGAAGTGTGATGAGGTCAGGGTATATTTACGGGTGACGAGTGTGGCATAAACAGACATTTCAAGGTGGTGTTCAATCACCCAGCTCAAAGCCTTCAGCATATGAGGTGCAGGGAGTCAGAGTGCAGAGATGGGGTGAAGTGGGCACAGATGGCAGGCGATCCACGGGTGGGATGGACTCCATGGGTCAGGCTTGGAGCTCTGTTTATTCCCAGGAACTGAGGGCTCCCATGTGCCAGGCACTGAGCCAGAGCTGGAGGGGACTGAAGAAGCCACGGGAGTCAACAGGACTGTCGGGGGTGGTGGGGGGACATCAGAGGGAGCCTGCCATGCTTCTCCTGGGCTTTGCTGGTGGATCAGACGGTAAAGAGTCTGCCTGCAGTGCAGGAGACCCAGGTTCGACCCCTGGGTCGGGAAGACCCCCTGGAGAAGGGAATGGCTACCCATTCCAGTATTCTTGCCTGGAGAGTTCCATGGACAGAGGAGATTGGTGGATTATAGTCCATGGGGTCACAAAGAGTCGGACACGACTGAGCGACTAACACTTCAGACTAGATCTAAGCACTTGCACATGAGCACAGTGACTTATACAGAACAGCCACCATGGCTGGCTCCATCTTGAGTAGGAAAAGCCTGGAAATGGTCTCAGCGTCATTCAGTAAGGGGATGGCAGAACAAACAACGGCACAGACATAGGATTAAAAAGCACGAGGCAATTCTACAGGGATGGGAGGTGATATGCTGATACATGAGGATGTGACAAAAGCAAGGCACAGAATGGACCATAATAAGGAATGAACCTCCATTCATGTTGGGGGTGGGGAACCCATCGAAATAAAATCGTATATACTTGGTACTTGGGCTTGCACAAGTATCTTTAAAAAGACACAAGAAACTGTTAACACAAATGGCCTTTGAAGAAGAGGTGGAGGACAAATGTGGGAAAGGGGGCCTTTTTCACCATATCTTCTTTTGCCACTAATTAACTTACTTATTAAGGGCTTCCCAGGTGGCTCAGTGGTAAAGGATCTGCCTGCTAATACAGGAGCCATAGGAGACACGGGTTCGATCCCTGGGTTGGGAAGATCTCCTGGAGTAGGAAATGGCAACCCACTCCAGTACTCTTGCTGGGATAACCCCATGGACAGAGGAGCGTGGCGGGCTACAGTCTATGGGGTTGCAGAGAGTCGGACAGGACTGAAGCCATGGAGTAAGCACGCATACAACTTATCATCATTAATTATTTCAGAATAAATACATATTCTGTTTTGTTGAGTGCTTTCTAAATGACTCCAGCCATAGGCCATCACAGTAAAACCCACCTCTAACTACCCCCCAACAAGCTTTTGAGAAACCTACTAAAACATCAGATCTTGATGCAAGGTCTCAGCTATGCCGAGCCCGGCGCTTGGCAGGGGCCAGAAGGAATATTCTTGGCATTTCCTTCAAAGAGCTTCTGATGTGGAGGGTTCAGAACTCACTCGTGTCAAGCCAGGTGGTACACAAGCAGTGGCTGTTCTCAGACAGGAAGTGAATGAATGGATCCTCATCAAAACCGTCAGCTCCGCGAGAGGCTGATCCTGACCGCTTGGCCTCAACAGGGGAAGCCAGAGAACCACACCTTTCTTCAGAAAGGAAACCTGCACTTCCACACAATCCACTCAGAGTCTATTTTAGCTCTGAACCCAGAATGGCACACTATTATAAATAGCAAAACCAAGATTGCAATTTGACTGATTTCTGTTCTGATGTTAGGAAAGAGGTCAGAAGTAGTTGTAGACCGAGGGGTCGAGAGCAAACCACAGTGTGAACACTGTCATGCTGCGCTGGACAGTCAACACTTGAACCTCCCTCTCCACCACCCCCCCACCCACCCCCGTGTTGCCTGAGTAACCGATTCCTGTGGCTTCAGTGTGCAGAAAAGCACCTGAGAAACTCTAACAAGGCTGTAGACAGGTTCTGTGGGAGTCTGCCAAAACCAGAAAGGAAATTCTCCAAGGAAAGCAGCTGTCCTTTTCCCTGAAGGCAGACAAGCTGAGCGGCTTACCTTTGTTGTGAGACATTGCGTACAGCAGGCAGAGCACAAAGAGTGCATGGTAGTCGTCATCTGGGCTGTCCAGGGCATGGTACACCATATCCAGGAAGGGTCTGGAAGAGAGGGGCCGCGTGAGCCTCACCTGCACACAGGATGCCAGCTGCCTTTGCCCTTCACAGCGCCCACCCCCCTGCCCGCTTCAACCAGCAGAATTGACTTCCCAGGTGGCTCGGTGGTAAAGAACCCGCCTGCCAACACAGGAGACCCACAAGTTCGATCTCTGGGTTGGGGCGAACCCCTGGAGGAGGGTATGGCAATCCACTCCAGAATTCTTGCCTGGAGAATCCCATGGACAGGGGCCCCTGCCGGCTACAGTCCATGGGGTTGTAAAGAGTCAGACACAGCTGAGCAGGCACGCGCCAGCAGCATAGAACATGGCCACCAAGTGCCCAGTTCAGCCCCAGGCACGGAGGATACAGAAGTGTCGACAGGCAGGCTCTGCCCTGGGAAGCTGCCATGTCCAGGGAAACTGACTAAGGAATGGCTAACCGACTTCTCACTCAACAACAGTCCACCTGCTGTCCCACACACTGGGGATAAGCGCGGTCTTGTGGCACCCCCGAGCCAGTGGGCAGGCAGAGCATGAACACTCCACAGCAGTACTTCAAAGAGCGACAAGAGAATGAAGGAGACGGGGCAACGTGATAGACTCACAACAGCAGACAAGGTACCAATAAATCTGGATCATTTTAGGCTGTGGACCCTGGAGCCAGACTGCTGAGGTTCAAATGCTGACTCTGCCTCTTAGCTGCAAACCCTTGGGTAAATTACAATCCCCCATCTGTGAGATGGGGATTGAACCCTTCCAGGGTTTACAGTGAGGGCTGAAGCGAAATGAAACAGAACGGCACGAACACAGGCCCAGGCTCGGGTGAAAAGTTCTCAGACACGTGAGCTGCTGTTGCACTTCTATTTTGAGGATTCCACAGGCACTTCTCCATGATCTCGCTTTGGCAGGGCCTGACCTGGCAGTTTCTTGGGCCAACCTTCCCTAGCTAGAAGGGATCGATAGGAAGCATCGCCTCTGATGCTTTGTGGGTGAGATCTATCGAGCGGCTACAAATACGTAAACAGTACAGCCTGAATGCTGCCCTTCTGGGTGAAGGGCCTGGCCTGGAAAGACTTCAACAAGAGGATAATAGAATGTGCACAGATTTGGCCCGTTGGCAGGAGGCTCTGACCCCGTGACTGTCTGCGGCTGCCCCAGGATGCCAGCTTGAGGCCAAGAGAGCAGAGAGCCTCAATGAGTGACAAAGGGCACACTTAACCCCTTAAAGGACACAAGCCATGGTCAAGGCTGCTGACTGTGGGAAGGGAGGAGGCGCAGCAGAGAAACACGGAGACCTATTCGCTGGGTAACTTTTTATACTTTCTGACTTCTGAACTCCACAAAGGTATCACTGATTCAAAATATATTGAAAAATGCAGAAAAGCAGTGAAACGCACTTGTCATAACATTTCAAATAAACACTTAATACACAGAAATTAAAGGAAGAAACTTTTAAGGAACATTTACTTTCCAGTTCTATTTCTCTGGAGCCCCAGACCCTCCTCCTCCCCAGAGCAGCCATCACCATTCTAATGTGTGAATAGTTTTGCCATGTGTGGATCTGTTTTCCTGTCAGCCCCCAGCAAAAACACTTCCAAACTTTAAGAGTAGGATAAAGTATTAAAACACACTTTTTTTTGCAAACCAATCGCTTGGAATTTGGACTGTATTTTCATTTGGGAATAATACAAATAACTAAACACCCAGTAGCAGGGGGAAGGCTGGGTGAATTGACCATCTTTTATGAGATGAAGTATTATGAAGCCATTAGAATTGTGTTTACTAAGAGAACAATAAAGTGAAAAAGATACTTGGAGTTTGATATTAGAGAAAACCAAAAACAAAAATAACAGACATGGTATGGTATAAGCTACTGAGGGGAAAGAGGGCAGAATCTCTACTATATGGGCATTGAAAACAGGCAAGAAATCACCAAAATGCTAGTACCAGCTGCTTTTGAATTATGAAGACCTTTTTTCCCTTCTTTATACTTTTCAAGGTTTTTACATTTTCTAAATGTCTATTAACTTTTTAAATTTTAAGTTTCTTTCTTTCTTTTTTTTTTTTAAAGAAAGAAGGTTCTGAGTGGTTTCTGGTTTCTTACTTCGGTATTTCACCATGAAGGCAGGGATAGCCCACAGTGTATGGGGAATGTAAGGACAGTTCCACTTTGTTCTGTGTTGTTTCTCTGGACAAGTGGACCAATGTCAAGATCCAGCTCATGTCAAGGAGGCCTGTCCCCTCCCTCATCCTCAGCGCCCTCCTCCGGGCTCAGCACCAGGAGGAGAGAGGGTGGAAGACTGAGGGGGTGTCTCTGACAACCAACAACACAGCACCTTTGCAAAGGCCATGGCAGCTCTCCACCGGGGCCAGTCTCTCAGAGCTGAGCACAGCTCTTGCTCAGTTCCTCAGGGCCACAACTCTGCATGTGGCTCAGCTCAGGACACAGGATCAGCTTCCACTACGAACCACGTGGCAGAAGATGCCAAAGTCACCATCAGTTAAGAAACAATCTCAATCAACTTGAAGAAAACCCCTGTCTTCACTAAGATTCAGGGGAGAAAAAAAGAAGTCTCAACTCCAATACTCAAACATAAAATTTGGCCTGTTGACTTTTTGTTTTTGACAGTACATGAGTGTTTTTCCTCCTTTAGGAAAGCTACAGTATTATCACACTATGCAAACATGTGCTGTTTCCATTTATTAGATCCTAAGAAACTGAACGGGCTTCCCTGGCGGCTCAGTGGTGAAGAATCTGCCTGCTTCGATCCCTCAGTTGGAGAGATCCCCTGGAGAAGGGAATGGCAACCCACTCCATTATTCTTGCCTGGGAAATCCCATGAACAGAAGAGCTTGGCGGGCTATAGTCTACCGGCTCACAGAGAGTCAGAGCGAGTCTACCAGCTCGCACAAGAGTCACACATTGAGCAGCTGAGCATGCAGTGATGCATTAAGCAGGTGCACACCCCTCATGACAAGTTATTTTCAGTTTTTTAATGATCTGTATTCTAAGTAAAGCTGAGCCAAGCACCTAAAGGTTGTCTTCCCCTCACTTTGTGTGTTTAGAATGATTCCCTTAATTTTCAGAGCTCCCAGTGTTACTCTTTTTTTTTTTTGGCCACAAAATAAAATTAGAAAGGTCCTTGGCAGTACAACTGATAACCCACACTGTGCGGCAAAGATTTCTATTTAATCGGAACTAAAAATGGCTCCCCGTGCATCTGATAAAAAAATTAATCTTTTCTGTTAGACAGCTGAAACACATGTCAAGCAAAGAGATAAACAAGACCTGCAGGAAAAGATGATGTGCTTCAAGACTTCACTTTAAGTTGGATTAATAAATAGAGTGAGTGTATGTGTTTGTATTTCATCCACCATGAGAGTTTAGGAAGTGAATGCCTTGCAGGCTGACAGAGAAACCACGTTGCTGTGCATTCACTACCACTGACACAGGATTCAGAGATTACTGCAGGCATCTGTTAAGGAAATAACACTGAGATGGAGAAGCCCTCTAACAGTTCGCTGCAACTTTGGCAGCAGCCCTCCACCCGATTCCTTCTGGAAGGGGTGGCACTCCAGCCAGGCTGCAGGAAAGCTGGCATCTGGAAGATTGCATAGTGTTAATAGTTTGGGCAGCCATCACTGAAATGAACCATCAAGCAAGAAGTCGAAGGTGGACAGCAGCATTAGACAGTTCCGCTGAGTCACCACAGCAGGCCCTACAGACAGTGGTGAGCATGGCAGCAGTGAGTGAATGAGATCATAAAATCCAAATGCTGCCCCCAAGGGCATCCTTCCTGGGGGCAGCCCCCAAGGGCATCCTTTCTGGGGGCAGCAGGTCACAGCTAGGAGTGGCCCGACGAACAAGGCCACAGCCCGTTAGGACCAGCACGGAAGTGCCTAGAGTAGTGGTGTCATGTCTCAGTCATTCATTCTGAAGGGTGAGTACCATGGCCTTGAGGGCCAGCTCCGTCCCCGTGGTCTCTCAAGAGGAGCGGCGCCTCTGGAGGCCAGTGGGAGGAGCAGCAGGATGGCTTGGCTGGGAAGCAGAAGGGGCTACCAGGGTGGTGGAACGAGGCCCAGCTTATCCTCCGTGGGCACCCGGCCAGGGCACTTCCCCCCACCACTTCATCCCAGACACCGAGCAGCAGCTGATGGCTGGCTTGGGGGCAGCTCTCTGCCCGGCCCGGCGGCTACCTGCTCCACTGGACACTGTCCAGGCCGGTGGCAGCACTCTTCTCCTCGTCCGTGGTGTTCTGCTCCTGCACAGAGGTGCTGGCGGCCAGCTCTGGAAGTTTGCTGCGCTCCATGATCACCATCTCTATCTCTGGAAGCAAACACAGACACTGGGATGAGCCCAGGCGGCCCTGGATCGAGTTTCACAGACACGCTCGTGCTCCAGACGGAGACCGGCAGCCCGCTCTGCAAACATCCAGCAAACACTCGACGGTGGTGACAGGAGCCCCTGCAACACCCACGCCAGGGAGAAATAAGATGGGGCCCGCTCCCCTCTCTCCTTTCAGCTTGGCAGTGTCAAGAAACGGCATCTGATCTTGACAGGAAAGCCCATATTGCAATGATTTACTTCAAGAATTTTCCTTCAACAGCTATTTATTCTCCTTTATTGATACCACACTTCCTTCCCGGAGGAATTGAGGAGCATGGAAGAAATGACATGTGGTTAATAAAACATAACCGAATCCACTAAAAATATTCCAAACCTGTTTACACTGTAGCACGGGCTCTGCCATGCCCAAAGCCTTTGTTTTCTCTTCCCACTTACAGCTTCCAGCGGGCAGAGAGGGGAGGGACCTCGCTTTATTTTTCCCAATTAAATAGGGACAATTTTCATAGCACCTGACTTGACCTCCATGTACATTTTCATTTTCAGAAAAAGGTCTGAACCAATGAAGGAAAACGTCCTGAGTTTGAGGTGGACAGTGGCTGTGCCATGAGCTGTCCCCGTTTATTGTAATAGAGTTCCTTGACAAGCGGGTGTGGACCAGCGAACACTTAGTTCTTGGAACCCAGAGTTCAAGGGCTGCCCCCTATCTTCAGGAGACACGGTGAGGGTAAAGGATGACGAAATGTGAACCTGTGTGTCCTCTCAGGAAGGACAGGTGCACACCTGGGCTCTGCCGTCGTCACCCCCTGACCCAAGCAAGAGCCTCCCACGGCTTTTTTTGCATCCACCGCCCCCACCCCCAACCCCAACCCCAATTTGTTGTCCACAGAACCAAGTGATTTTAAGCAGAAATTAGCCCAGGTCCTCTTCAGTCTTCCCATCACGCTCAGAACAAAATCCAAATGCCATCCGCAGTATCAAGGCCATGCACGGCCCAGCCCTTGACCCCCGCTGACCACACCTCCAGGCCCTCTCTGGCCCACCAGCTGTCCTGAGCATCTTGTCACTCGCCTTTGACCCGCACGGGTTTGTTCCTGCCCCAGGGCCTTTACTCAGCTGTTTACTCTGCCTGGAATGCTCTCACCCAAGTCTTCCCTCCCCAGGCACCATTCAATCACGTCACTCGAGGCTCAACTCTAATGCCATCTCAGGGACGTCTTCTCAGACACCCTCCCCGTCGGTTTTCCCTCTACCTCTCCAAGTTATTATGAACTCAACTCCATACTTCATTCAGATTTCCCTTGTTTCTCCCCAGTATCCTTGTTCAGTTCCACGGCCTCAGCCTGGATAAACACATTATATCCAGCTGTCACATCTTAGGCTCCTCTTAGCTGCGACAGTTCCTCAGACCTCCCTTCCTCCGGATGACCTTATGGATTGAGAAGTCTGGTCAGGTATTTTTAGGATGCCTGTCAATCTGGATTTGAGTGACATTCTTCTGAATATTAGACTGGGCTTATGGGTTTCTGGGAGGAAGACCACAGAGAGGAAGTGCTGTCTCATCACATCCTATCAAGGGCACAGGCTATCGACATGACTTATGACGGGGGATGGTCATCTGCATCACTCAGCCAAGGGAAAGCTGGTCAGGGTCCTCCACCGGAGAGTGACGTTTCCTCCTCCTTGCATCCCACACCCTTCGGAAGCAAGTCATTGAGCACAGCTCACACTTAAGGATTACAGAGCTATGTTCTGTCTCCTTGAGGGAGGACAGCTACATAAATTACTTGGAATTCTTCCATAGAGATGTCCCCTCTCCCCTCCTCTTGATTTTACTTTATGGTATTTATAACTACAGGTATCCCCACTTTTTGAAGTTTTGCTTTTAGGACACTTGGCTTTTATGGAAAGACCTGTATTACTACCTGTTTTTGCTAATTGAAAGAAACCTGAAAAGGACTTTCCCTTTTACAAAAATAGGAGAAAAGCAGAAATAGCATTTAGCGTTGGTGTTGCAACAGTCATTACAGAGGCAGCGTGCACCCCAAGAATGGAAGTGGCCCCACCAAACTCCTTCCTGGGAAGCAGAGTTAGTTAGCACCTCAGCGTCGAGCCGCTGTAGCGCTGAGCTGTGCTGGTGCCTTATGTCCATTTACTCTGAGCATCTGTTAGCAAGGTGTGTCCTAAAGGACATGCATCCTGGCTTTACACCATCTTCTCTTACAAAAGGTCTCTACTTTCAGATTATGGGAGAAACCCGCACCTGGATTTTACATTCTATATTTATTGGTTTGCTTGTTTCCTGTCTGCCTTCCCCACCCTAGGACGTGGGCTTCATGAGAGGTGCTGCCGTATCTATCTTGTTCTCCACCAGAATTGTAGTGTCTAGTCTAGGGCCTGGCATAAGGCAAATGCTCAGTACAAATCCCTGGAGTGGACCATGTCTAATGAGTCTGCCTAGGGCCAGGCAGGGTTGGCAATGACGCTCAGCAGCTGTGATGTGTAAAGCACCTCCAACCTGCGATCCACCTATGTGCAGTGTCCTCATGGGGGTGGGTTGCATCCTGGCCTCCCTTCTGGGACTGTTAGGTGTGACTGTGCTTGCGACTGTCCTCTGGCTGGGAGGACTGCATCCCCCCCAATGCCAACAATTGGCCTGGACCTAGGGGAGGGGGTTGCTCTCACCAGGCCCCTCCCTCCCAGCATGGTCTGAAGTCAGACAACACAGATCAGAGTCCCCCATGGGGGTCAGCCCCATCACACAGGTGGGGGCTGACACACAATTTTTAAGTGCCATGTGTTTGCACAGTTTTGTGTTTATTTTAACATGCATTAGAAGAAAATTCTAACTGCACAAAAAGTCTGTTTTGTGGATGCTACTGCTTAGGATGAAGCTAAATTTAAGACAAAACCACTGAGTCAATTCACCAAGAGCTATTGAGTAAACCGCAGTGCATGTAGCCTGTGGCCACAGCAGAGGGCAGGAGGCGCTGCCATCTGAGAAGCACCATTTGCTTCTGTCTCCCATACTCCCTCCACGAGCCTCAACTCTCATCTTCTCCAAAGTGGGGTGCAGACATCCCAGTGGGTATGCAAGATGATTCACTAGGCAAAACCTCTGTATTTTTAATTATTATCTTTATAAATATCTCTTTTGTTCATGTTATGATGTACTAACATTTGTACGTTAATACAAATACATACAGTTCATAATAAATGTGTGTATATATATATATATATATATATATATTGGGGAGATGCATGTTGAATTACATATTTGTGTTTACTGCTGGGACATGTCATCTGAAGACTACCAAGTGAGACAATGGTGCCAGCCTCTGGCTTCTGCCCTGTGACCTTTGACCTGCTTCCCACCCTGCTGCGAGGCCCCCTTCCTCCTGGCCTGATAGGCTGACAAGGCAGGAACTCCGCTCCGAAGACTCCCCAAGGTTACAGGACCAAGCCCTCGTGCCTCCATATGCTGTGATGTAGTTGTTCCTTTTTGGCTTTTTAATCTGGCTGGACACTCTGAGAGTTCTGGAGCAGAGGTGAGGCTGAAGGTAAGTCAGTCTAGTGCTCACCAAACTGTGTTAGCAGGTGCACACCGATTCTGAACAGTTTCCCAGGGCAGCCCCACGGTAAGAGATGAGCACAGGGCTGCTCCAGGGACAGGGTGGGCGGGTGCCCAAATGTCTCTGACCACAGGTCCCCTCATGCCCTCCACAGAGGCCCATGAAACTCTTTTCGGGAATTCTGCAGCTTCCCAGAAAATGGCCTGAAAACTACTAGTTTGGTCCTAGAGACTGAATATGAGGAAACAGAAACCCAGAAGTAGAATGACTTTTTTTCTTTTTGGCTGCACCATACAGTATGTGGTTATTTCCCTGACTAGGGATCAAACTCATGCTCCCTGCAGTGGAAGCACAGAGTCTTAACCACTGGATCATCAAAGAAGTAACTCTTCACATAGCTGCAAAATCCGCACTGGAAGCCAAGCCTGCCCCCCTCCTCCTGCTTCCCAGGTCACTCCTGGTGCAGAATCAGGCCCATCACGGCCTCTCCACATACAACAAGGCTTCCGAACCTTGGCCGTGTCACCCTGGTTCTCACAGCTGCACCCCTATACCTCCCACGCTCCCCCCCCACACAACTCCTCCAGCAGGCCTAAGTGTAGGATGAGCTGCTTCACGTAGTTTTCTAGGTAAAATATACAACAGTTCTTCCAATACCAAGCAGGTCTTCCCCCTTCCTTTAAACTCTTGAAACCAGTGATTCTTACCCAGGTCTGCCAGCTCCCAGAAACTGTATGCGAAGTGCTAGGTGGGCCTGAGAGGAGTGGCTAACAGGTTTTTGAGCAGAGGGTCTCGCCAGATTCTCACTGTTCCAAAACAGATTCTACAGCCATCTTCAAAAGTGGATGCTGATGAGGATCGGGCCTTGGTGATGGAGGGTCAAAGGGCACCCCTCTTTATGCTGCATCAGGACGCCCGGCATGGTTCCGCACAGCCTTCTGGGCCCCCGCTGCCCCATCTCCCTGCTGACACCATGCCTGCCTCGGTGCGACCTCACTCCCTTCCCAGGGTACGTGCACCACGCTGCCGCCACCAGGGCAAGCAGACCAGTGGGCTCACATGGACAGATCTTCCCTGAGTACACTGAGGCCAGGACCCAGGCGCTGACAATGAATTCCCAGGGCGCTCCATCTGAATCTCAGTTATTACACCAGGAGCCCCCACTTCCCCCACCAGGTTTCTGTTTTAGAGGTTAAGGGACTGATGCTCTAACCCTAGTCCTCTGCTCTGTGCATGCATGCTCGGCCGTGTCCGACTCTTTGTGACTCCACAGACTCCAGTCCGCCAGGCTCCTCTGTCCATGGGATTTCCCAGGCAAAGATACTGGAGTGGGTTGCCGTTTCTTCCTCCAGGGGATCTTCCCGACCCAGGGATCAAACCCAAGTCTCCCGCGTCTCCTGCATTGGCAGG